TTCCAGTGTTGACGGCTTGGGCTTAGGATTTAGGGTATAGGGTTTAGGGTTTAGCTTATTCAGGCTTTCATCCTAAACCCTAAACCCTAAACCCTAAACCCTAGACCCTAGACCCTAAACCCTAAACCTTAAGCCCTCATATATAACAGGGTAGGGCATTTATTCAAAGCACAGCCACGCGAGCTACGAACTCTGTGAGCCTCTCCGAAGTCCACGCCGGCTTCTTGGCACATCTTCCGGAAGTCCTAGCGGATCCCGGAAAAGCCAAACCCCAAAGAACGTCTAGGGTTTAGGGTTCAGGGTTAGGGATTTAGGGTTTAGGGTTTAGGGTTTAGGGTTTAGGATTTTAGGATTTTAGGATTTTAGGGTTTTGGGTTTAGGGTTTTAGGACTTCAGATAAATGTCGGCTGCGGCGCCCGAGTGCTGTCCAGACTGTTCACCGGTAAATTCTGAATTCTGCTGTAGCTAAAACAAGGATTGTGGCTGAAGGAATCCTAAAAACACTCAACCCCTGAATCTAAACCACCATCTCCTCAAACCATGAAGTGAGATTAAGGGTACAGAAGACCTGCAGATCCCATAAGCTGCTACTGCAAGGGCTTCCCAAAACCCTGAACCCCTAAAACCTTAGCCTGGTAGGAATTGGGCCGGTGCTGCTTTGAGATGTGGGTGTTCTCGGGGTTACAAACCGGGTCTCATTGAGTTTGGTCTTCACACCGATTGCTTGAAGAGTTTCGGGCTCATGCGTTTCACGTTGGATGTCGGCGTGGGTTGTGTCAACCGCCTGGGGCAAGAAGTAATAGCCTTGGGGAAACAAACATAGCCTCTCACTTTGGTCGCCGATCCTACCAACATTGCACGTCTCGCTTGCAGCAAGGTAGACCCTAAGCTTAAACCCTGTAAGCCCTAAAGCCCACGAACCATGTTCCCATCTACCAAAACTTACACTGCACATTCGGCGTTCCATATCCCGAGAACTGAAAACTCACCTTGGCTTGGGGTTCAGGGATAGAGCAGCAGATTACAGCCGAAATTAGTTCACCCCAAGCAACCGTCGTACTAGTACATCTACATCTACTACTACTACTACTACTACTACTACTACTACTACTACTCCTTGAACACCAAACCACGAATACCAGAGCCACGAACGTCTTCAATTCTAGCACCTCACCAGAATGTCCGGAGACAACACCATAACCTCATTCGTTCCCATCATAAGGTTCATTACCTTCAAGAACCTCTCTGGGATATACAAAGAAGCAAGGTCCTCGTCATCGATGCCCAGGGGACCTATCACTGTAACAGCTTTGGGTTCTCACTGGCTTGCTTCACAGGCCACAAACCCTGAAGCTGTCGAGGCTAAAGGCTGCTACGTCTTCCGGAAAACGGGCATCAAGCTCAACTACCAAAGATTTGGGGCTTGGCGTTCGGGTTTCGGTAGGCTTCGCAAGTGAAACTGGACCCTTTCCCTGGACCCTAGACTCAAGGCTTAGGCCACCTACCGGTGCTTATGCCCATCCACGTGAGTAGTGCAGGTCGACCCAGTGCGCCAGCACCCCGTACCGGGTACTGGACTTCTTCATTCTGGAGGCTATTGCCTGTTTTTGGCATCTCCAGAACGGGCCCCCACCCACAAGCGAGCCCCAGTTCGGCCTTGAGCCAAGCGCGGCGAGTGCAATACTGGGGCCTTGATATGATGGTTAGACTAGAATTGTGGGGCACATCATGGTATATCTATGTTAGGGAACCCTAAAGTATCCGTGGTTATTCCTACCCCTATATTCATAGCACGCACTTACTATGTGCTGCACAGCAAACTGCACCTCCACACTAAGACTCAACTCATGGGTCGTAGCACCTCTTCTTAGGAAGCTTCGCACAGGCCTTGGAGTGTTGAGCGGCCAAAATCCTTATGCCTGAAACCCTGAACATTAAACCCGAAAACCAGAAGCTGTACAAACCCTAACCAACACCCCCTAGACATGCAAGCTCCCCAAACCCGAAAGCATTGCAACCCTAAGCCCCTAAACCTGAAACCCCAAAGCCGTAAAACCCAACCTAACTTCCTAAAGCCGCAAATTCTAGAACGCAAATTGGAAAGCCCTATGCCCCAGCCTGAAGCCCTGATCCTAAACCTAGCTGGTGAGTTCCTTGGGCAATGTGAAACGGCGCGTCTTCGCAAGATCAACTTGTGTGTTTGTAGGGCTCTACAAGGGGTTGGCTTCTGTGAGGCTTACAATACACATTTGCGGTCTAGTCTAGTACTGATCGGCCAAGGACTTTGGGCCAGGGCGTCGTGATCGGGTATGGTTCTTTTTGAACGGAATAGGGCAAAACACTGCTGTGAAAGTTTGCAAGTATAAACCCCTAAACCCTAAACCCTAAACCCCTAAACCCCTAAACCACCGAAACAAGTGCTTTGCCATGGCTCCTGATGAAACGGGTAAGGCCCCTAAACGCAAAATCGTAAGTCCTAAACACCATAGCACATGCACCAAAACCTGAACCCCAAGCCCTAAATCTTCTAAACCCTTAACCCTAATTGCATCTTCTAAACCCTAAACCCAAACCTTCTAAATCCTTAACCTTAAATCTTCTAAACCCTAAACCTTCTAAACCCTATACCCCAAACCTTCTAAATCCTAAACCTTGAATCCTCTCATTCTCTCATTAACCCTAAACCGTGAATCTGGAAAAAAACCCTAAACCCTAAATCTGGAAAACTCTAAATGCTACATCCTGTCGACCCTAAAGCCTAAAACCCTAAACCCTAAAACCTAAACCCTAAACCCTAAACCCCTAAACCCCTAAACCCTGGGCCCGACAAGGCCTAGTCCGTCATCCTCGTCGTCCGAGTCCTCAGCTTCTGGAAGCTTCCGACGGGATCTCTCGACATGACGAACTGTGTCGGAGTTCGGGGCTTAAGGTTTGGGGTTTAGGGTTTAGGGTTTAGAGGGTTCGGAGCTTCAGGCTAAAAGTTAGGGTTTAGGGTTTTGGGGTTCGGAATTTGCTGTTGTTTTCGCGTCTGGGTTGTCGGGATTACAGTGGCGAGCTTGGCGTCGAAGCACTTGAGCCAACAACTCACAGCAAACCTTGTTGCTTTTTAACTGGATCTAAAAAGGGAAGACTTGGTTTATGCGACTCCTAGCTGTGCGTAACCCATATGAACCCCAACCGGCAGAGATCCATGAAGACAGAATGAACATGACACTATGCGACACATCCACCTTCCAACATCTGTGAACAGGCACTTCACTGTGCACACCATGGATACCAGACCCTGCCCCCTAAAGAACTTGATGCTCATCCCCGTACTGGCCTCCAACTCACAGCTGCACCTCTACTCCTACTACTTCTTGCGTGTCTCCTCTTGCGTGTCTCCCCTTCCGTGTAATTGTTCCTACTGCTGCTCCCGCTGCCGCTACACAAACACTGGCTTAGATCCATCCCAGCGGCGCCAAAGGTCACACCCACGTCTTCCAGGGCCTTCGTTGCTTGTGTTGGGGGGGGGGGGGCAGCAGGAAATCAAGAGGCTTTTCAGCGGGTTCCTTTCTGGGCCCGGTATACTAGCATGGAGCCCAACCAAAGGCCCAACATCTAGAATCTTTTAGCGCGCAAGATTTAGGGCTGCGCGGTTTGAAGGGTTTGGTGAGTTCGGCTCAGGGCTCATTGAACTCAGAGTCTGCGGGCTATGGGGCTTGGGCCTTCGCCAGATGTATATTCAGACTTGAGATACGTTTAACCCTTGTAGAGACGTTTGTGTTTGGGCTTGTGGTGGTTTGCGCCGCTCAGGCTGTTGAAAAGCCAGACCTCAACATGGGTAGTTGTCAAAATTATGGTCCCTTTTGGGGTACCCTAAATAATAGGTGCCGTATTATAATGAGGACCTAAAAAGGGACCATAATTTTGACAACCACCCACATCCTAAACGCAATCCTCAAACCTCTAAAGCCCCCTGGACCGAAGCTCCTGAGGCCCTGGTCCCCGGAACCCGGAACTCCCAGACGAGACGAGCGAAGGCCCTACATAAATCCCTAAACCCTAAACCCTAAACCCTAAACCCTAAACCCCTAAACCCTAAACCCCTAAACCCTAAACCCTAAGAAGGTGCTTGGGCGGGGCCTCTTTCATCACAATCGAATCTCTCTTCTCCTGGGGGAAGGGGGGTTCATAAACTCCTCAAGTGGAGCTGCTAAACCATGGTCTCTTTTCAGGGTCTACGTTTTTGAGATTTCCTGCTTTATGTGTCAAGATGGGCTCTGCAAGGTTCATTTAAGCCATCAACCCTGACAATAACAAAGATTGCCCTTGCAGTTGGGGACTGCAAAGTGGTCGCAACAGCTATCACGGGGTGGGATGTCTTGATTCTGGGAGAGGGGATTCTCAAAAACGTTGCTAAACATGGTACTGAGTAATGCTGTGTACACTGGTCAGGCTTTCAATAACTGCATCAACTTCAGCATCATAACCACGAATATCCCAGCGAAAGCAACACAACAGTGACTAACGACAAGAGGGGCTCAACAAGGAGGCTCGGATCAAGTTTCCGACTTCAGGGTTTTCCTCACCTGGGGTTTGCGGGGCCTTGCGACAAGGATCCAGCTGCTTAGGGTCTATGTAGTAGGCTCCTCATTCTCGGAAGCTCCCGTTTTCAGCGGCAACAACAGGTTGTGCTATCTTGCTGAAACATCTATGCTGAGGGCATTCGTTGCTGGGGGGGTGGGGGGGCATAAGACGAGGTCAATACACCCCAACACCTCGACCCTTCCAACAACAGGAAACCCCAAGCGAATTCAAGTAGAACCCAGCCAACAACCTCAGCCCATAGACCTAAACCCTAAACCCTGAAAACCAAAATATCCTGCTCGGCGGTCCATTTCTAGCACCAAGCTCAAAGAGGGATTCATGAGTAGGACTGGCTGCAGAGCTCATACGTATCAATACAACGGAGACTTCACCTTAGACCCCTGTTATGAAGGCAGTCACTCGGACGACTCCTGGGGGTGCACCGGGACCAAGCCTGTGACAAGAACGAGTCTCAAGCACTCCGGGCGGTGCTCGGAGCTGTTCGTGTTGGTACGAAAATGAAGCTGATAACCGGGTTGAAGCGCTGTGGCGGTGGCGGTGGCGGTGATGGTGGTGGTGGTGGTGGTGGTGGTGGTGGTGGTGGTGGTGGCGGTGGTGGTGGTGGCGGCGGCGGTGGTGGTGGTCGTGGT